TTATATCTCTGCCTAGCTATGATTTACTAGTGTTTTTGTGTTTTGTATTGCCATCTATGTTTCATCCCTTTAGTGTTTTGTATTGTTATATTTATAAAAATGATCAATAAATAAATATAAAGAAAACTTTAAAAAAATCTCTACTGGCAGGTACGGTCATCGTACATTGGATGGCAATGAAGGAATTACCACAGAAATGTTACGATAARCAATTGCATCAGTTAATGTACAGACAAAATTAGACACTGTATATACTACACTGATAAWAAACGGTTTCCCTGTTTGAAGTATGTAGGTAAAAATAGGATCACTKACATTGTTGTTTGTGTCCTGCATGACAGGCAAACCTCTCCAAGACAGCTGCATTCTCTCCTGCAAAAAAAGAAGRAAAGATATATTACGTAATGAAAGCATTATAGCAACAGAAATGTTATGATAAAGAGTTCCATCACTTACATWGGAATCAATGACTTGCAAACCTCTTGGTGGCAACTGGGGTCTTTCTATTCCGGTTCCCTGAAAAGTAATAAGTAGACACTGTATATTAGTAACAATAGAAAATTAACTTCAGAAATATCAGGGTAAATGGTAGCATTACTTACACTGTTGTTTGTTTCCTGCACGACAGGAAGACCTCTCCATGACAGTTGCAACCTTTGTAGATCATTAAATGGCAAGATGAACAGTGCTGTTGCATCCCTAAAACCGATGTTTGTGTCCTGCATGACAGGAAGACCTCTCCATGACAGTTGCAACCTTTGTAGATCATTAAATGGCAAGATGAACAGTGCTGTTGCATCCCTAAAACCGTTGTTTGTGTCCTGCATGACAGGAAGACCTCTCCATGATAGCTGCAATCTCTCCTGCAAAAAGAAAGAAAATACATTTATTGTATGTTAATTTAAGCATAGCTGCAGAAATGTTTGAATCAYTAGCAAGCTTCTCAAAGAGCTGCAACCTTTCTGTGACAAAAACACCAAAAGAAAACTATTTTCCCTTTAGAACACGTATAAGAAAAGCTTTGTAAAATGGATTTTGAATAGAAAAAGTAA